TAATGAACGAAGCAGACAAGATGACTCACTCAACTGACATTATCCAGCCTCCGACACTGACTACTCCAGAATTGGGATGAGAGACATATGACAGGAGTTATCATGGTGGTAGAGATAGATGTGAATCGAACAATATGACTTCCACTTCCCAAGTCTGAAATGGCTACCTCTGAAAGTCAGCAACAGGGACCAATACTAAGCTCAAGATATGGCATTATTATTTAAATAAACCAACCAGATACTCAGTGCAAGTCAAATGCATTGGGCCTCTTCCTTCTTGAAAGGGCCAGCAGTTTGTCACTGCAGGGATAGAAACTTATTCTGGGTATGGATTTGCCTTTCCTACCTATGGAGCCTCAACCAGCATTATTACCTGGTAACTTGTTGAATGTCAGATACATAGACATGGAATTCCACACAGCATAGCAATTGACAAGGAACGCTTTTTATAGTGAAGGAGGTGCTGAGTGGACCTATGACCAGTGATCTACGCAGGTCAGGTACTACATTACCTAGAGACAGCCAGCCTTGAAGAATGCTTGGATAGTCTTCTAGAAGTGCAGCTGAAATGTCAGTGTGGAGGAAACTCTCTGAAAGGATGGGGTGTCTGTCATTCTACAAGACACAGTGTATTTATTGAGGTAGAGACCCCTATATTATGCTGTATCCCCAAAAGAAAGGTCTGGAAATTCAAGGGCTAAGCAAAAGTGACTTCACATATAATCATAGCCAATAACTTACTGGGAGTTCTGTCTTTCTTGTCACTTTGACTCTGTGCATACTCTATATTCTGTTGCCTTTCAGAAGCATATGGGCTAATACAGAAGAGGAATAACTATAGAAGTAGAACCCCATAAATTAGTTTTCTTTTTGCAATCAATCATCTTTCTTGGAAACTTATGTTTTCAGTGTAGCTGATTGTGAGTTCATTTTAGCTGGCAATAAGTAGTTATAATTCTTTTTTAAGTTGAATTACATGGCTTAAAGAGGGAAAGGAATGCCAAGGAGGTTAATACAGTAGGCCCATGAGTTCTGCATGTGTGGATTCAACCAACCATGAATAGAAAACATTGAAAAATAAAACCAGTAAAGAAAAACACTACAGTAAAAAACAGCAAAATTAAGAAATACAGTATAACAACTATTTGCATGACTTTTACATAGTATTAGGTATTATAAATTATCTAGAGATGATTCAAAGTATACAAGAGGATGTGTGTAGGTTATAAGCAAATACTACATCATTTTATATAAGGAATTTGAATATTCATGGATTTTGCTCTTTATGGGGTTCCTGGAACCAATACCTATGGATTCCAAGGTATGAGTATATTTATTTAGTGTTGATATTGGTAGATGAATATGCTGAACATATTTAAAAATGCATTTTATTATAATTCATTTATTTAATAAGTGGGGTAAAAACCTAAGGTGCTGGGGATTACTTATTGACAAGACAGACACATTCCTTTTATGTGTTTAAAAGGACACATAGCTTACCTTTTATTGTAGGAATATACATTATTAATATACACACATATAAGTAATATAATACTCAAAAAATAAAACTGGGAAAAGATGATAGCCAGTGAAAAGTAGATTGCAAGAATGCCATTATTCTGGATACAGAACTCTCTGGGTAGGTCAAGTTTATTTAGAGACCTGAACAAGGAGAAAGACTGTGACATGTGGCTATCAGGGAGGAGGGAATAGGTAGAGGAGAGATCAGTTGCAAAGATCTGGAGAATGGAATAAACTTACCCCATTCAAGGAAGCATAAGAAAGCCACGGATGAATGTGCAGATGAGGCAGAAATGGTGTTGGCGAGGAGGGTGAAGGCTGACTTGTAGGCTTGGGTAGTGAGTCTGGATTTTCTTCTAAATATGTTGGGAAGCCTCTAGAGAATCGTGCACATAAGAAGGATGTTCTCTGGTTGCTGTTGTGAACAGACCAGAGCCAGGGACCAATTAAGAGACACTCGCTGAGTCCAGGCTGAGAGATAATGGTCTGTGGCTTGCCCTTTGGGTTAGATGTTTATATTATGGAGAAAATTATAGGCTTCAATAAGACCTTTGTAAACAACAACAAATGCAACCTCTAGGATTGTCTTGGTGATACCTTAGGTCTGTTAAGTATCAATCTGCTAAAAATGTGATATAACATATGCAAAGTTTTGATACTATACACATCTGGGCATTTTCTAGCATTTCCATAATTCTCAAATGGCTTTGTAATCCCACCAAAAGAGTATAAAACGCACTGTGAGGAGTCTGTGATATTCACTAAATGGTAATGATTTCTGAGATAATCAAGATCAGATTTGGAACCTTCTGATATCCAAGATCAGATCTGGCTCAGGACAAACTGCAGGGAGGATTTCAAAACAAAGCCCTGTAGGTCATTATCTCCACCTCCTCCTCTTTCCTCTCAACTGTAGGTCAAAGCTTATGAAACAGAGTGCGACTTTGGAACATTTAAAGTTTTAAAAGAGATAATGGGAACCCGTGCTGGCACAGTGACACTCAGCTACAGCAGCAGCTCTGAGGCCACTGCAGAGCAGGCTTCATTGTAAGCCAGAAACAGGAGCCCCTGCTGACCCATGCAAGACCTTCAAAGGATGCCAGATGATTGATTTACTGTGGTTTCAGAGGGGATCCAACAGAGAGCAAAAGTTTAGCACACAGCTGAAAATCACATCTATTTTCTCAGCTCATTGTAGTTTATTCCTTCAGACGTATGCGTATATGTGTTCATCTCTCAAATGAACTACCCTGGAGCTACATATATACAGTACTGAATATAATTGTCAGTGGCCTGGATAGTAAAAGGGACCATGAAGCCATCTGCATCATTATTCAAATCACATTTTGCTTTTGACTCTGTAAGCTCTGGTCATTTATTGGTCTCTCCCTGCCTCAGTTTACCCAACTTGAAGTAGGTATAAGATCACAATCAAAATAGTACAAACACAGATTGATGTGAAGATGGAAAACAATGTAATGTTTATAATAAATGTGCAGCCAGTTCTTGGCCACAGGCATAGAAGGTACTTGATAACTGTTTCTGTTCTTCCTCCTCTCCTGTCCTCCTTTCAGCTGGCCATTGTAAGAGACTGTTCTCAGTTCTCAGTAAGTCTTGTTGACAAGATGGAGACTGCCTCTTTAAGTTTGGTCTTTAACTTGCAGGATTTACGGTGTAATAGGGTTTTAAAACTGAAGGGGATCTTAGAAAGTATACATTCTTCATATTTCATTCCCAAATGGGGAGACAGCAGTGCAGTGAGTGCAGGTGATTTGGCCCTAGTTCTGCAGATTCTAGAAGGACATGTGCTTCACGGGGCCCATGTATCACACACTCTTTCCATTGGCACCATGTTCTCTCACACCCTGCTGCTCAGTTGTGCTTGTGCGGCAACAGCGTGAGGCTGCCTGAAATCCAATGGTGAAGTTTCCCAGAAAGAATATACTTTCTTTGCTTCATGAGATTCACAATAAAGTGAGCCTATTTGTTGTGCTGGCCTTAAACATAACTTTGTTGACTTATTTAACTAAAAGTTCCGGGTGATCCTTTCAAATTCTGGGAATTTAAAATTATTTGGCCAGGACTCAAATGATTGATGTTGTTTCTAAATTATACTTGTGAAATCAAAAAAGGACATTGGTAGTTTACCACACTGCTTGTGTTTAGAATGAAGTTTATAGCATGTCTCTTAGAGCAACACAGAAATTTGACATGATAGACAATAGTCTTGCTCTTTAGATACAAAGTTAACTTCCTGTTAAAAATAAGTAATAAGCAAATGCTAGCATAAAAATTTAATGATATCTTTGCAATAATTTTAAGCAATTGAAAGTATCCTCTACTTTTGTATCCTGAGACAGAAGTTATGAAAAAAATGTGCATTGGAGGGAAGTTAAATGTGTACCTAGGTTCAAGCAGATTAAAGTTTCTTGATCTGTGAAACATTTCCAGTTTTAGAAACATAGTCCCTGAGTCCCTTGACTCCCAAAATACTCCTTTGGTCGCTTTCTTTTTCCATTGCACTCTCACATTTATTTAAAACAGACCTAGTAGCATTCCTTTACTAACTGAAGACATTTTCTTTCTTTCTGAAAATATCTATGAATCTTTATGTGGTGGGTACATAATTTTAAAAAATACTATAGTAACATGATATTTTACCTGGTCATTTTGAAAGAGCCATAAAAAAATCTACCTACAAAATTATTAGAAATATTTTCTTGGCAGTAAATATGGGATAGGGAAAAAATTGTTCAAAGCCCTGTAGCAATTTGCTAAGCAAATGAGAAGTCTTTGTAAATCTACTACATAAGGAAACTTTAACTCTGAGTCAAGTGAGTACATTTCTCAGGGAAGGTCATGGGAATTGTGAAATGTGTACTTGAGTCTCAGAATTGGGCTGGGAAATACTTTTGTCAAGAGGACAATTGCTCAAGAGTCCCATAACTGACATTTGTTCTAAGCGTGAGTGTGTCTTGGTGACATCAGAGTATCTGGATTCTTAGCAAGAGTTCCATCGGATTTCCGGACATTTGGGGTTGGAAACCACTTCCCTCTTTGTTTGCTGTATTTCTCTCCCATTCAGGGGTTCCTCATTTTCTACGTGTGGAGGCTTAGGCCTGACCGCTCTCACAGGCTGCATAGTGCCCTCTGGGCTGTTTCTGAGCTACTTTAGGAGCTTTGCTCATAAAGGCACTTACGCTGAGGTGGGAGAATAGGGTCTGGAGACAGGGAAACTAAGGCTGTTTCACCCTGACTTCCTAGAACTACATTGAAAGGAAAACCCTGACTTTCCATGCCTAAGTAACAAAAGGACCAGAGGCTACTCCCTTTGCAAACCTCTCACCTTTTCTGCGTGGCAGATGGGAAATTGGCTTGTCCGCACCAAGTCAGGCTGATTGTGGGTGGAGTCCTCATTTGCATAGAAGTACAACTTTGTAACTTCACCCTGGCGAAGGAATGTGACCTTCCTGTTTTCACAGGAATGTGACCTCTGTAACTTCACTTCAGCCTCTGGTTGGCTGCTTTCGGCAACCGATCAGACTGATTGCGGGGTACCACTTCATTTACATGAAGTGAGCATGAAGTGGCCAATGGGAAACTTAGGGGGATGTATTTCGACCCGAGAAGATTCTGTATCACGCCATTGAGCTGCTGCTAGGGCCTGCTCCCACACTGTGGAGTGTACTTTCATTTTCAATAAATCCCCGCTTTCATTCTTTTGTTGCTTCATTCTTACTTTGCTTTGCTGGGCGTTTTGTTCAAATCTTTGTTTAAAATGCTAAGAACCTGGACAGCTTGTAGTCACGACCCTCTAACAGTGACAACACCTCCTGCTATTTGCTACTCACCACTCATATTTCATACTTCTATTCCGATCTTTTGTCACCCTTTTGGCCTAATGTCCTGATCATTCAGGGCTCAAACTCTTACAGAGAGTCTAATCCTTCATCTCCTTGGCCTGGATTCATGAGCCCACAACCGGACTGCTCAGATTTTGTGCTCACATTGGTAAGTCTCACTCAAGTTGTTTGTTCACTACCATAAACAATGAAATCTTCAGACTTTTGTTTTTGTTTTTCTTAAATACACAGGGGTTTTTTTGCTTGTTGTTTTGGCCCTTCCTGTTTAGTTGTCTCCAATTTTACTCAATTCCAGTGAGACAGCTTTACCCACACAAAGCCCACCTGGTAAACATTTGAAAATATTTTGTCGGGTATAGAGAATAAATGACCAAGTGAATCATTTATCTATCTATCTATCTATCTATCTATCTATCTATCTATCTATCATCTATCTACCTATCATTTATCTCATCTATCTTTGTCGTTTTCTGTCGCATGACATCCTTCAATTAGCCTCCTTCTTCCTACATCTACCGTATTTCTATTTCTCTTCTTTCTACCAACTCCTCTCCAGCAAGAATACTGCTCATTCCCAGTGTACATAATGTCCTTGCTTCCCCAAATGCTGGCTCACACGAATTCAAGGCAAAATGTAATTCTTCCTTTTTGTACAAGGATTCCTGAAAGTCTAATTTCTTCATGATTTTCTTCCAAATACATGTCTTTTCTTTTTATAATACTTGAAATTACTTATTTTACTAAGTGCCACTCAGTATAGTTACAGCTCTATATTGGAAGCCATTTTGGTAGAAGGAACTGTCTTCCCTACTTTGAGCTTCTATCATTTACCTACTAAGTTCTTATAACAAGAGTTGGTGCCCAGTAAGCTTTGTTAAAAAAAATTGGGCCGCTTGTGGTGGCTCATACTGTAATCCCAGCACTTTGGGAGGCTGAGGCAGGCGGATCACGAGGTGAAGAGTTCAAGACCAGCCTGACCAACATGGTGAAACCCCATCTCTACTAAAAATACAAAAATTAGCCCGGTGTGGTAGCACATGCCTGTAATCCAAGCTACTCAGGAGGTTGAGACAAAATAATTGCTTGAACTCAGGAGGTGGAGGTTGCAGTGAGCCGAGAATGTGCCACTACGCTCCAGCCTGGATGACAGAGTGAGACTACATCTCAAAAAAAAAAAAAGAAAATCACATTAACAGTTTTTTTTCTTTGTATACAGAGATTATCACCACAAAAATGATGAATATTCCTCAAACCTACCAACATTGAAGATAACTCCACTTTAGGCTCATGAGGAAGAGGATTTATTGATTGAAGGTAGAATCGCTTCCAACTGTGGGTAAATAATCATTGAATTTCTGGAAAAAAGCTAAAACCACACAGAAAATTGTCTTGAGACTTACATGCATTCAGCCTAACTCTGATCTAAGAGGATGGTGGCCATTAACAGATGAAAATGTTTTGAGCTGGGAGGAAACAATATAAAAGGCCAAGTGACCTACTTTAAGGTTTATTTGTTTTTCTTTATAATAATGAATGCAATAGAAAAGTGTTGAGTTTATGAAAATTTTAAAATTCATTAAAGGGAGGGGATCAATAAATTAAAATGACTTTCAGTTGCTCTTAAATATGTCTTTACGGAAATTAGAGCAGTGTGTATTCCTTTTGCTGTTACTAATAAGCAATTGATGATGTGCTTGTCTTCTTGAGCAGATGTAAAGTCATCCTGAGATGTTTCCTTATTTCTGTGTGGTTCTTTGTTTTACAAAATGGTGACATCCTTTTTTTGGCATCAGTCCTGCAATTCAGATGATCTTTTTACTACTTTGCAGCCATCCAAGTTGTGAAATCAACTATAAGCTGCTCCTTTCAGCTTGCCAGTGATGTGGAATTCTTAACATATGAATGTTCCCCAGGGTTTTTGTAAGCCTCTTTAACCTCTGGATGCACTCTGTTGACAGCTTCCGAGTTGTGATAAGTATCTACCTTTTATTTCAACTTGGAGATTTCTTGAACTATAAAATTACATTTGCTTTGGAGCAAATACTTTAGAGTGCACTGACATGGCAGGTTCATGAATTCCCCAGAACTTTCATAGGAAATGGAGAATGCAAAGGTCATGTAAATACAGTCATAGTAATGTCTTATTGATTAAAAAAACTTAATATCAAACACATTTTAGTTTGGAAAGATTGCAGTCAGAGTGGACAGCATAGAAGGAACACATATGTGGGCTATCTTGTGGGACGTGGTTCAAAATAAAACTCTAAATTTTCAGATAGCTGATACTTCCTAAATCAGTATTTGGATCACATCATAAACATATTTTAAACCCACAAAACTCTGTGTGTGTGCATATTTTGTCTGTATACTATTCTTCTAGCTCTAGTTATGTTTGTCATCTATTTATATAAAAATGTTCAGGGAGGGGCATAGTATGAGATCAGCAGGTTGGTAGATGGCTACACACTATTTCTAATGCTTATACACTATTCTAATATGTAGAGTTAGAGTTTTCACCACAAATATTCATCCATGTATTATTTATGTAACTAAAATCATTTTTTAAAGTGCATATAGTACTATTACTCTGAATTACATTTCTGGGAAATTACAAGGAAATTTAATGTGAGTTTTGACCATGACTTAAAAAATGATTATTATTTTCTGAGATTATGGATTATATTTTTATTCTTCTTTATTAATTTTATTCAACAAAAAATTGTTTCAGCCAGGTGCAATGGGTCACACCTTTAATCTTAGCACTTTGAGAGGCCACAACAGGTGGATCACCTGAGGTCAGGAGTTCAAGACCAGTCTGGCCAACATGGCAAAACCCTGTCTCTACTAAAAATACAAAAATTAGCCAGGCATGGTGGCACAGACCTGTAATCCCAGCTACTTGGGAGGCTGAAACAGGAGAATTGTTTGAATCCAGAAGGTGGAGGTTGCAGCGAGCTGAGATGGAGCCACTGCACTCCAGCCTGGGCAACAAAGTGAGACTTCATCTAAAAAAATTTGTTTGACATTTGCCACGTACAATGCGATATGTTAGGCATCATGAATACTAAAATAGGTAATACATGGATTCTGCCCTTGAGTAGCTTGTAGTTTATTATGAATAACAGACATAAGGAATCTAAGTAAAATAAATTTCCACAGCCACTAGGATAGAAAGCTGAATAAAATACAGTTATTAAATAATTTAAATAGCTTATTAAGTACATAATACTGTTGAAATGAGACCTGGTGGAGTGCCAGATCCCACATGCCAAGTTGAATCCAACCAATTCTTCTTAGCAAATAGCATGGTCTTCAGCTTCCTGGTAGTTATGTGTTGAGGTTTGATTGTAACACTCAAATATGTTATTTCCATTTGTTATTATAAAAAATTTAGTCTCTACCCCCGGGTAGTTTCAATATCTGCATTACAGACCATTCTTAATATTCCCAGTAGTTGTATTCTATAAAGTTGCTGTAAATGCTGAATTAGCAAATACGAAATCATTGCTCCTAGTGGAAATACTGAGTTGTTTCATGTGTGTTTCCGTTTAAAGGCACTTTTGTTAGTATATACATATTACAAATAATTAATTTCATGGTCTTTGAATGATTTAAAGCCAAGAGCTTTGGAGACTATTTGTATTATACAGGTATGTTAGCCAACATACTTGTGAAGAAAACCAGTTTTATCAGTGTTGAGAATGTGCTCTTCCACATAACCGCTTTCCTACACTTAGCAGGTACTTTTAAAATTTTCCTGTACAGAACTTGCCTTGCCTGCACATTTAGCATTTTTCATGCCCTATCATCTATCGACAGTGCAGAGCAGTTAGCACTAGCTAAAAAAAGGTTTGATCATTTTCTAATCCTGGAAAATGTGACTGTAAATTTCTTTGGCTTTCAGCCTCAAAATAACACTGTCTACTTCACTTTTTTGTTGTTGTTTGTTGTCATCTCATGAATCCACAAATTTACCTCCTTTATACTGACTTTTTTTTTTTTTTTTGAGATGAGGTCTTGCTCTATTGCCAGACTGGAGTGCAAGTGCAATCTCAGCTCAATGCAACCTCTGACTCCTGGATTCAAGTGATTACCCTGCCTCAGCCTCCTGAGTAGCTGGGACTATAGGTGTGTGCCACCACGCCTGGCTAATTTTTTGTATGTTAGTAGAGACAGGGTTTCAGCTTGTTGGCCAGGTCTCGATCTCCTGACCTCGTGATCTGCCCACTTTGGCCCCTCAAAATGCTTGGATTACAGGCATGAGCCACTGTGCCCGGCCTGCATTGTTTTTTTATACTTTTAAAAGAAACTATCGATGGTAATTTAGCATTTTCCAGGACAGCCTTGCATAAAAATTGGTGAATTTCTGCTTCTTTTTTCTTGATCTACTATATTGTTGGTTCATTAATTCTGAACTCACAGCCAACAGCAGTAGCACTCAAGCCTGAACATAATCTCACATAATCTCTGTTTAAGGCACATCACAGCGTCTTGCACTTAGGAACACTAAGCACTGCCACACTATGTGTGAGGGTCATTTTAAACAGTAAAATCACCAACATAAAGCACAAAAATGTAAACAATGTGGCATGAAATGCACCACAAAAAGAACATTTGTTCACAGTATGAGCTGAAACAATAAGGCAGAGCACTGTTTTGTTCAGCCTCAGCTAGGAATGTGCCTAACAAGCAATCAAACCTTTTGCTACTCTGTGTTTATCTGTGAATGACTATGAGACTGTTGTGAGTATCCATTTGGGGCTTACAGATAGATTTTTTTAAAGTAGGTTAATTCACAAATACAGAAGCTCCAAATGATGAGGATCACTGTACGTCATTCAGAAACCCTGCCTTTTTTAGCCACCTCCTGTCCCCCTAATTGCTGTACTAATTCCCCAGGCTCTGAACTATGAACTAAATACGAAAAAAATTAATTTAAGGGGGAGTTCTACAAGGTCATCTTATGTGGTAACTACTCCTTTGTCAAGAATGCACTTATACTTTTTCTACCAGAGGCTTTAATGTTCCAAATAGATTGATGATAAGAATACAGATGTGATGCTCTTCACAACAGCTTACCTATGAGTAGTCAAACAATGCCATTTTCATATAAATGAACATGTTATAATCCGGCTAAAATTAAACAGGTTATCTCCTTTTTGTTCAGATTTTAAAGTAGAATCTATGAAGAATTATATCTGGTTAGTTGTTGCTTGATCTTTGTTGCTCTTTGGATATATGATGCCCATAATTAGGTGACAAATCTACCTCTGAGTGAGGCATCAACCACATTAAAAAAAGGAGTAAGTATTTTTGCATCTCAGTCATTAGTAGTCATTGCTGTGAACTCCTTTTCTGATGGGAAAGTTGTTCCATGTCCCTTAATGTAGTGTGGACACGTTGACATCATTGTATGCTCTGCTGGGAGTGCCACCCAATCTTCTTCCTCCCCAAACTCTACCAACTTATTAGTTGTCCTAGATGTCTTCACTGTGGTTCTTTCAATTTTATAGACATCTTGTTGGGATACAGGGTTATTATTGGCTGATGATGGTTGAACTCACGACATTTAACCAAAGGAGAAGAGATCTATAAACAAGATTTAATTCAGAGTTTGAGCTATAATAAAGCCTGTGTCTTATTCTGGGAATCTCTCCGATGTCATGGTGTAAAATTTGGTTGTGGACAAAAAATGAGACATGGTACAAAAGGCTGGACAAAGCTCAGCTGGAGAGTAAGAAAGTTTTCTACTAACTGTAATTAGCAGTTAGTAGGAAAGACTATAGAATGTAAAAACAAAAACAAAAAACAAACCCCAGCAAGGAGGCCTTTGGCCACATGGTAGAATAAGCAAATGTGAACAGACTAAAAGCTACCTTAACATATTAGATTAAATATAGTGATTGATTCTAAAGCATAGATAAAATTAAAAGACAGGAAAATCCCCAGTTGTTATATGAAAATAAACATAAAGAAATAGCCTGCTTAATTTTAGTGAGGTTATAGCACGTTTGTTTATATGAGAATATAATTGTTAGACTACTGAATCCCCAGGTGTTATAAAAAAAGGTAAGAAGGGAATAAAAATGAGATGCCATGGAAAACTAATACCAAGGCATTTCACAGAGGTTTCAGAAAGGACATATGCCTTAGTACTGGAGAAATGGTTACAAACACCTATAAAGAAGGGAAGTGTAATTTGAGAGTCTTGCACAAAACACAAAATCTCTAAGGATTTCCAGGCCTCATAGCTTGGAAGACAGTCCCAAACAATTAACCAGAGAAAATGTAAACAAACTTGCCATTTGTCTGGGACTGTGTTGGAAGAACCAAACA